TCATTGATTTAATTTTTAAAAAATTGGAAATCCTAAACACTTTTAATTAAAATTTACAAAATTTAGAGCAACAGGTTTTTATTGGTTAAGTGTAATTGGTTAAGGGTAAGTAGTGATTAAATGGTGGTGCACATTAGCCATGATTTGATTAACTTGGTTTAAGGGCTAAATAGCCTATTGCTGTTCAACCATTTTAGTTTCCTGTTGCCCCAATATTCTTCTAAGTAACCTGTCCACTTTGAAAACATCTTTGTGTATGAGTTTATGTGCTCAGATTTGAAGATGTGACTCTAATGGGGTCTTCTGCACACTGGGCAGCACATGGTTGTGTATTGTTTTTTCATCTCTACTTAAAGGCAAGTTCCTGACTATAACAATTAAGAAAACTGTGGGCGTTGGGACATGTCATGTTATATGACCTGGAAGGACTGGGACAGCTGATGCATAGGACCACCATCACCTGCAATTTCCCCTCCAATCCACACACCATCCTACCTTGGAACTGTATCACCATTCCTTTATTGTTACTGGATCAAAACTTGTGAACTCCCTCCCTACTAGCACTATCAATGTACCTACCTCCAAGGGATCGCGGCGGTTCAAAAAAGTGTCTCGCCACCACCTTATCAAGGATAGTTAGGATTGCTCATAAATGCTGACCTAGCCAGAGTGCCTTTACTCCTTGAAAGAATGAGAAAAATCTACTCCAATCACAAATAATATGCCGCAGAAAACAATCAGCAAATTCTGCTATCTTGAATCCATCATGGCAATCTGTATCTTGACATAGAACTTGATATATGAATTAGAAAAATAGTGACCACCTTTTAACCAGCTCACAAAATATGCATGGAATAGCATCAAGCTCAAGAGGAGGCAATTGGGGATGGGCAAGCGAGCAATGCCCTCATCCCATATATGAAAGAAAAGCTGACCCTTTAAAGCGACATGTGGTTTTTGAGACCTGTGTTCTCCACACTTTGCAGTATGTGAAACATGAATAACTTGGAACTATCAAGAAAGGAGGCTGAAAATCTTTCACTAGGGCTATTGCAGCATATTCTGCACATCTGATGGAGTGATGAAATGATAAATACTGCGGTCCTTTCAAAAGCAAAAGTGTCCCAAATTTGTTGGTATTTATCAAATGGAGCTGACTTTACTAGCTTAGTCCTGTTCACAGGATGGAAAATGGTCACATGCTGAAGGATTTTCTGTCTGGAGAGGTAACTGGATCTGGATAACCAGCACAACACAAAAGCTCTGTCTTAAGGATGCTTGCAGGCATGATATGAGCACCCTGAGCATAGCTGGTCACATCTAGGAGACACTAGTTGATGATAGAAAAATGATGATGGCACCTCTGGGCTGGTTTGTACCACCACAGTGCTCATTGGCTAACAGTAGTTTTGCAACAGGTGCTAACACTGAAAACAGCAACCCATAACATCTGATAACCACACATGCAGCCCTTTTGGATTGGACTTTTGTCATCATCAAAAGTACACAATTTGATGCTAACCATTTCCAACTGATTTGACTTGCTGCATGTCTGTCATTATGTACTGATGGAAGAATGCAGCCACTTATCTTAAAAGCAGAAGATAACCTACCATTAGAATGCATTAAGACTAAAAGTACTTGGTCAGATTGTTTTATGATTAAATAGTACATTGGAGAAACAAAACATGGCAAGATATTAGAAAAGCACAACGTGTTTTTTTAAAAAAAGCCTTGAAAAGGCTAGTGCAGTCACCAGAATTTGGTGCAAGGGTGTTGGTGTTGCTGCATTTTGTCCTATGTAAGCAGGGAATAATGAAAGCATCAAGTGTAAAACAAAAACAGTTTAGTGTTAGCAGCCAATATGACATTCTGTACCTAACTTTTTGGTCCAGATCTCTTGATTTGCTCGCCCACAGTATTAAAGAAGTAGCTCTTGAGTGGTATTTCCACGAACTTCTATTTGCTGTGAATGCCTGACTTGTTGCATTATATGGTACCTTTTTACGATTGACTTGCATCTGCTCGTGCTAAAGGTTGCTTTGCTTTTGGGTGAAATGAGAACAAAGAAAACTAGAAAAACTTAGCAGGTTAAACAGTATCTGTGCAGTAAACTTGTCAGGTCAGTGCCCTTTCATGAAAAATTGCTCTTGAATGGCTTATGTATATTTGTAAGCTCCCAGTTGCCTGGCTGTGTACCTGTGCAGCTCAGAGGGAAAATTCCTCTTCAATTGCTAGATATTGGATTAAACAAACTGACAAAAGAATGCTACCTGATTTCTAATGTAGTCCCTAAGGCAACCTCTTCATCACACTTATCACCAAAGAGCGATACCTGTAATTAATAGCCATGCGCCCTTAGAAGGTGTGGACAGAAAGGCAGTTGAACTGAGATAGTATTATGTGGAAATGGCAAATGATAGCAGTATTTGTTTGATATAAGCATGAGCATTATAAGTGGTGCACAATTTTTATATCACGTTTATAATGGAGTCAGACGAACTGAAAGACTTCTGGATGTGGAGTCAGATTTATTTTCTAGATCGACAAGATGAAGTGTGCACCATCAACTTGAATTTTTTTGCTGATTTTCGTCACTTGGCAGAATCAAAAGAAAGTAATGAGAGCTCTGATTTCTCTTGTGGAATATTTTTGATTTTATAATATGTTAAGATCAGTATTGACAAGTAATGTTTTTGACTTTTTTGGAATCTGAAAAGTCTGGTATTAACTCGAAGAATGAAACCACAAGGTTCTTAAGTTAACAAAATAATTTCACTGTGCAAAAAATCGCAGATCATGAACTTTTGTAACTATAATTTTATCTTAAATTGTCTGTCACATTAAACGTAATAAAGCTGGATTGAACATGATTACTTTAAGTTGGGATGTCTTTACTCCAATTCTATATTCCTTAGATATTTATTGCAAAACCCTCAAGTCAAATACTATTTCAGTTTGGAAGATGATCTGCTTTGTGTTGGTACTGTCAACAACTTTGTACATAGACTGTGATTTCTGGGGCCTTCTATTCTCACAAAGTTATTCTGTCAAATCTCTCCAACTATCCAAGGTTCAACTTGTGTTTCTGACAGTATAAAGTGTAGACATCTCAGGTCAGAATTTTTCTCCACCTTGTATTCCTTAACTATGGAGTTTTGTAAGTAAAACACACGCTTCCTACCCAATACATTATTAGTGGAGTCCTTTGGTTACTCTTAGCCAACACCCAAAATGTCAACAGAATTCAACTAATGAGATATTTCCTTATCTCGAGCTTGTTCTAAACTCCGAACAAAACTACTTAAACAGAGTATCAATGCACAGAACCCACTGACCCCTATAATGAACTTGTTGACCACTTTTCTGCTAGATAAACCCAGTTGACCTAGTCACATCTTCTTAACAAGAAATCAAATCCTGGTTCTTTAAAGGACCATCACTCCAAGATGAGACGTTGTTTTCATTTTCCCCCAAAGCCCATGGACCATCGCAAATAGCAAATGATCTCAGTGGAGACTGTAGACTTTTACAAATGCAGTCTTTGAGTTATTAACTGAAAGAACTCAGTTTTAAATGAAAACCTTTATAAAAGTCAGAGCAAGCAAGCAAGCTACTAGCTTAATTCCATATTTCGTAAATTTTCTTATTTCCACCCAAGAGTTTCCCTGTACTTTAGAGGATCTTATAGGTTCCTTCACTTGGGACCAAACTGAGATGTGCCACGAATCTCAGGAATTCATTTAAATTCTTCCCACTGTTCCTGCTGTTTTGAGATACGAGTTTTATCTGGACTCTTCTATTAACATCTGGCCAGATGAATTTTCCAACATTCAGTCAACACCTCATGATTGTGGATACCCCAGCTCAAGCATGGATCTCACTTTCTTGTCTATTTTACAAAGAAACTCCCAAATCGAAGAAAGCCTTTTATTTGAGTGCTCTGCATCTGGTATACACCTCCCGGTAGATTCTTTTTGCTTATTTCTCAGCTGTTCCAGCTCCAGAACCCAATTCAATCAATCCCTATGGCAATGTGGCATACCTAATATTTTCCAAATAGAAATCCAACTTCACTTGCAAATCATCCACAATAAAAGTGGAAAATAATGAAAAAATCTCAAGTCTAGTATTTTCTGTTGGAAGAGAAACAGTGTCAACATTTGGAGTGCGATAGCACTGGATATTTGTAACAGCGGTTTCTGAAGTACACAAATTAAAATTTAACAGATTGTATTTTGAATGGGGTTAATTTCTGGATATTGCTGTTTCCTCCATATATTTGCCTTAGATCAGTATTATACTTACATGGCTTTTAGCTTGATATGAATAATCAGGAAAATAAATAGAGCTGATTTTTTGTATGAGATCTTAATACTCCTATATCCATGAATATGTCCTTAAACATTCGTGTGTGTTTATCAGCGAGTTGATGAAAGTGGAATGTGTAGACTCTAGAATGCTTCAGTTTGGCTTTTGAATTGTAACTATTTGATCAAACATGGGCATGTGAACTACCCTAGCCTGTGTTCAGTGACAAAGGTGTTTCTAGCAAAGTTGCCACATAGCCTCGTGTGTGGCTAATCAGCACTTTCTATTGGACAACATTGACCATGCAGATTCTTTTAATAGTGCGATGTTCTTTCAATGTGAAGTGTGTGGGCAAACAAATTGCAGGAAAGTCATTGAGTACTGGATGTGTTATCGCAGCAAAGATAAAGTTTTAATGAATATATGACATTCAGTATGTTGGATTGTGTCAAGGCTGAATCTGCGCTTCACAGCCTGTAAATACACCAGTTGGAAGCCTGTATCTTCTGAAATATGCTAGAGATTGAATGATCTTTCATAAAATAAATTCATAAGCTTGCATAATCCTTTTGCCCAATTTTCATAGCAGTAACATGAACTGTGTGACAGAAATTATTTTCATAATGCATGGACGTCACTGATAAGTAATGCAAGGTATCATGAAATAACGTAGTCATTGCTGTATCCAGGTCGATGCACTGCGTCTGCGGCTGGAAGAGAAGGAGAGTACATTAAATAAAAAGTCAAAACAGATGCAGGAAATGGCTGAAGAGAAAGGAATTTTAGCTGGAGAGATCCGTGATCTGAAGGACATGATGGAAGTCAAAGAGCGAAAAGTCAATGTCTTACAAAAGAAAGTGAGTAAATTATTTCAAATATTTACAGAACTGGGATTTTGGGAGGCAATATTTAATTTCCATGGATAAACGTGAAATTCTTTAAAGTGCATTGCAAAATGCGGTTGAATCAAGGGTACTGAAAAATGAAGTATTGTTCACATGACCATTACCAATTGCATTTGTAAAGTGCTCTATGCTGTGAATCATGTGACAACCATTAGCAGCAATGTTAACAATGTAAATAAGGCAGAGGCCGGACTTTTGCATAATTACAATGCTTCAAGTAATTCTCGGTGGCAACTATTTTTGCATCACTGGTCGCATGAATGCTTCCATCTAGGAGATGGTCAAATGTCAGAGATATTTTGATTTTGGAGAATGGATATACCAAACTCAGATGTCGGTATCCTTTAACATTCAGCTTGAGAAATGTAATGAGTCTGCCGGAATGTTTGCACATTACTGTTTCTTTACCAAGATTGATAGCATAAATGTAAATAGAGTCATAGAGATGTTCAGCACGGAAACAAACCCTTCGGTCCAGCTTGTCCATGCCGACCAGATATCTTTTATAAATCTATTCCCATTTGCGAGCATTTGGTCCATATCTCTCTTAAATCCTTCCTATTCCATTACCCATCCAGATGCCTTTTAAATGTTATAATTGTACCAGCCTCCACCACTTCCTCTGGCATCTCATTCCATACATGCACCACCCTCTGCATGAAAAAGTTGCCCCTTGCATTCCTTTTAAATCTTTTCCCTCTCACCTTAAACCTATGCCCTCTAGTTTTGGACTCCCCCACCCTGGAGAAAAGACCTTACCTATTTACCATATCCATGTCTCCATGCCTCTCATGATTTTATAAACCTCTATAACATCACCCCTCAGCCTCTGATGCTCCAGGGAAAATAGCCCAGCCTATTCAGCCTCTCCCTATAGGTCAAACCATCCAACCCTGGCACCATCCTTGTAAATCTTTTCTGGACCCTTTCTAGTTTCACAACATCCTTCCTATAGGGCAGAGACCAGAATTGCTTGCAATACTTCAAAAACGGCCAAACCAATGTCCTGTACAACCGTGGCATGACCTCCCAACTCCTATACTCAATGCACTGACCAATAAAGGCAAGCATACCAGACGCTGCCTTCACTATCCTATCTACCTGCAACTCCACTTTCAAGGAACTATGAACCTGCACTCCAAGATCTCTTTATTCAGCAACACTCCCCAGGACCTTATCATTAAGTGTATAAGTCCTGCTGTGATTTGACTTTCCAAAATGCAGCACCTCGCGTTTATCTAAATTAAACTCCATCTGCCACTCCTCAGACCATTGGCCCATCTGATTAAGATCCTGTTGTACTCCGAGGTAACCTTCTTTGCTGTCCACTACACCTCCAATTATCGAGTCATCTGAAAACTTACCAACCATATCTCCTATATTCACATCCAAATCATTTTTATAAGTGACAAGAAGGATTAGACCCTGCACCGATCCTTGTGGCGCACCGCTGCTCACAGGCCTCCAGTCTGAAAAACAACACCCTCTGTCCTTTACCTTCAAGCTACTTCTGTATCCAAATAGCTAATTCTCCCTGTATTCCATGTGATCTAACCTTACTAACCAATCTACTATGAGGAACCTTGTCGAATGCCTTACTGAAGTCCATATAGATCACATCCACCTCTCTGCCCTCATCAGTTGTCTTTGTTTCTTCTTCAAAAATCTCAATCAAGTTAGTGAGACATGATTTCCCAGGGAAAGCTATGTTGACTAATCAGTCCTTGCCTTTCCAAATACATGTGAATCCTGTCCCTTGATTTGCCCTTCACTGATGTCAGGCTCACTGGTCTATAGTTCCCTGGCTTTTCCTTACCACCTTTCTTAAACAGTGGCACAACTATAGCCAACCTCTAGGCTTCCGGCATATCACCTGTGGCAATTGATGATACAGATATCACAGCAAGGGGACCAGCAATCTCTTCCCTCACTTCCTACAGAGTTTTAGGGTACACCTGATCAGGTCCCAGGGATTTATCCACCTTTGTGTATTTAAGATGTTCAATATCTCCTCCTCTTTAATATGGGCATTTTTCAAGATGTTGCTGTTTATTTCCCCCGTTCTCTATCTTCCATCTTCTTCTTCACAGTGAATACTGAAGTCAAATGCTCGTTTCGTATCTGCTCCACCTCCTGTAGTTTCTCATATAGGTGGCCTTGCTGATCTTTAAGGGACCCTATTCTCTCCCTGGTTACCCTCTTGTCCTTAATGTATTTCTTGAATTCCTTTGAATTCTCCTTAACCCTATTTGACAAAGCTATTTCATGTCCCCTTTTTGCTCTCTGATTTCCCTCTTAGGAATACTGCTACTGCCTTTTACCCTTCTCGGGAATCACTCTATTCCTGTTGTCTATACCTGACATATACTTCCTTCTTTTTGATCAAAACTTCAATTTCTCCAGTCATTCAACATTCTCTACAGCTACCTGTCTTGCCCTTCGCCCTAACAGGAGCATACTGTCCCTGGACTGTCGTTATCTCATTTTTGAATGCTTCCCATTTTTCAACTGTCTCTTTACCTGTGTACATCCTTCCCCAATCAACTTCTGAAAGTTCTTGGCTAATACCATCAAAATTGGCCTTCCTCCAATTTAGAACTTTAACTTTTAGATCCGGTCTATGCTTTTCCATCACTACTTAAAAACTAATAGAATTATGTTCACTGGGCCCCAAAGTGCTCCCCCGCTGACACCTCAGTCACCTGCCTTGCCTTATTTCCCAAGAGTAGGTCAAATTTTGCACCTTTTGTCTAGTAGGTAGATCTGCATATTGAATCAGAAAATTTTCTTGTACACAGTTATCAAATTCCTCTCCCTCCAAGCCCTTAACACTATGACAGTCCCAGTCTATGTCTGGAAAATTAAAATCCCCTGCAATAACCACCCTTTTATTCTCACCAATAACTGAGATCTCTTAAACAAATTTGTTTCTGAATTTCCCGCTATTGGGTATCTATAGTACAATCCTAATAAGGTGGTCATCCCTTTCTTACTTCTCAGTTCCACCCAAGTAACTTCCCTGGATGTATTCCCAGGAATCCTTAATCAAAAATGCCACTCCCCCACCTCTGGCCCCCCCTTTCTATCCTTCCTATAGCACTGGAACATTAAGCTGCTAGTCCTGTCCACCCCTGAACCATGTCTCTGTATTTGCTATGATATCCCAATCCCGTGTTCCCAACCATGCCCTGAGTTCATCTGCCTTACCTGTTAGGTCTTTTGCATTGAAATAAATGCAGTTCAGTTTTTCAGTCCTACTTCGTTCTCTGCTTTGTTCCTACTTGCCCTGACTGTTTGACTTACTCCTTTTCCCAACTGTATCAGTCTCAGACTGCTCTCTTTCCTCACTGACTCCCTCGGTTCCCCCCTCCCCTTACTAGTTTAAATTCTCCTGAGCAGCACTAGTAAACATCCTCGCCAGTTTATTAGTCCCTTTCCAATTCAGGTGCAATCTGTCCTTTTTGTACAGGTCACTTCTACCACAGAAGAGATGCCAATGACCCAAAAATGTGAATCCTCTTCCTCTGCTCCAGCTCCAATGCCACGCATTCATCTGCTGTACCCTCCTATTCCTATCCTCACTAGTTTGTGGCAGCGGGAGTAACCCAGATATTATTACCCTCAAGGACCTCCTTTTTAAATTTCTGCCTAACTTCACATATTCTGTCCTCAGTATCTCATCCTTATGTCTTCCAATGTCATTATATCGATGTATACCACAACCTCCTGCTGGTCCCCGTTGCCTTTGAGAATATTTTGCACCGTCTCCGAGTTTTCCTTGATCCTGGCACCAGGGAGGCAACAAATCATTCTGATGTCTTGCTGTCGGCCTGTTCCTCTGTTTAGAGAGTACCCTATCATAATTGACCACTTGGAACCTAGCCTACCCCTCGTCACATAAGAGCCAGTCTCGGTACCAGCCACGTGGCTGTTGGTGCTACATTCCCCTGAAAGTGCAACACCCCCTACGTTTTCCAAAACAGAATACTTGTTTGAGATGGGGATAGCCACAGGAGACTTCTGCACTACTTGCCTCCCTCTCCTATACCTTTCTTGAAGGTCACCCATCTACCTGACTGTATCTTCAGTTCATCTCCCATCCTGCAACTGCGATCAATCATACCCCCAGCTCCTATAAATTCCTCATTGCCTTGAAGTGCTGCTCCATCTGATCCATGCGATTCGATAGGATTTGCAACCAAGCACGCTTCCTGTAGACATACTCATCAGTAACATGTAAACTTTCCTTAATAGCCCACATTCAACAGGAAAAGCACATCACTCTACTGAGGATAACAAGGTGTAGAGCTGGATGAACACAGCAGGCCAAGCAGCATCAGAGGAGCAGGAAAGCTGACGTTTTGGGTCTGGACCCTTCTTCAGAAATGGGGGAGGGGAAAGGGGCTCTGAAATAAATAGAGAGAGGGGGAGGTGATGATAGAAGGTGGATAGAGGAGCAGATAGGTGGAGAGAAGACGGTTAGGTCAAGGAGGCGAGGATGAAGCCAGTAAAGGTGAGTGTAGGTAGGGAGTTGAGATGGGGGTTGGTCAGTGAGGAGGGAGGGGCGGGTAGGTGGGAGGGAAGACGGACAGGTAAAGGAGGTGGGGATGAGGCTAGTAGGTAGGAAGTGGGGGTGGGGGTTGGTCAGTGAGGTGGGAGGAGTGGATAGGTGGGGAAAAGACGGACAGGTCAAGGAGGCGGGGATGAGCTGGGCTGGTTTTGGGATGAGGTCGTGGGTGTGGAGATTTTGAAGCTTGTGAAGTCCACATTGAGACCATTGGGCTGCAGGGTTCCCAAGTGGAATATGAGGTGCTGTTCCTCCAGCCTTCGAGTGGCATCATCGTGGCACTGGAGGAAGCCCAGGATGGACATGTCGTCCAAGGAGTGGGAGGGGGGAGTTGAAGTGGTTCGTGACTGGGAGGTGTTGTCATTTGTAACGAACCGAGCATAGG